CGGGGGGAGAGGTGGGGACAAACGCGGAGGAGGTAGGCACCGAGGCGGGCCTGGGCCTGGGCCGCTGCGGGCTCCCGGCCGTGGGTCCCTGAGCCTCCAGTCCTGCCCCCTTGGGCTGCACCTGTCCCCTGGCTTCGATGGCGTGGGCTGGGGCATCACCAGTCTCAGGAGGTGGGGATAGAGCCTGGGCTCCAGACAAGGACAGAGCATCGGCCTCTCCGTCGCTGGCAGGGAAGTGAGGACCCCAGCGCCCTCACATCAGATAGATGCACACAGCCCCAGCCCCCAGCAGAAAAATGAGCTCGGGACACAGAGTCAAACTCCCTCTCTGTCCCTCTGTCTCTCTGTCTCTCGGCCTGTCTCTGTCTCCCTCTGTCTCTGTCCCTCTGCCTGTCTGTCTCCCTCTAACTCTCTGTCCCTATCTCTCTGTCTCTCTGCCTGTCTGTCTCCCTCTGTCCCTGTCTCTGTCCCTCTGTCTCTCCCTCTCGGTCCCTGTCGCCCTCTCGCTCTCACACACTCAGGCACAGACATATGCACGCGCATTTTTACCGGAGTTGAAATGCCTAGGAAACTGCGGAAGGAGTGAGCATGTGTGCGCATGTGCGGGGCCTGTGGCCCAGGGCCTGAGTCCCTGGTCGAGGGCGTGCCGGTCACTGCCAGTGGGGAGAGTGTGCAGAGGCTTGTGGGGGACTCAGGCTCGTGGTGGAGGGCTTGTGGTGGAGCAGGGCTCGCTGGTGGGGGGCATCTGTGTAGCCTCCACACTGTCTGTGAGGGGGCTGGGAGCCAGAGGGTGGACCGGGGCCACATCCCCTCTGCCCTCACCCATGGGCTCCACGCCCTGGACAGCCCCTTTCTCTCCTAGTGCCTCAGTGTCCTCATCTGTAAACTGGGCCCCTAACCCCTTTGTCCCATGGTTACCATGAGGCTTCGGTGAGCTGGCCAGCAGTGCTCGGAGTCTGTGCATGGAAAAGGCTTACTCAGAATTCAGAGCAGATTTTACAACTGTTGCTATTGTTCTTGCTACTGTCGGCTCATCTTTCTTTCCTTCTCTTGTCCTATGGAAATGGGGGTAGGAAGACCTAACCCCACACTGCCCACCCCCTCCCAGAACTCAGGCACAGGGTCCAGGGGCCCCAGCACAGGCCCTCTGGGCGCCGTCTCAGCCCTGAGCACCTGCCACTCCAGGGCAGCCTGGCCTCTCTTCCCCCAGCATCGCCTCCGGCCTCCTCCCTGCCCCGCCTGCCTCCCAGCCTCACCGGCCACACCCGTCACCTCCACAGTTGCCTCGTCTGGCACCTCCCGCTCCTTCAGGTTCTCCTGTGAGTCTCACATCCCTGCAGCTGCTGAGGCCCCCAGGGCCTGGACTGGCTGAGGGGACTGAGGGTAGCCTGGAGCTGGGTCAAGTGTGAGCGAGCTGGGAGCTTGTCCTTCTTGCAAACACTCCAGGAGGGACAAGCGAGGGGAGGGGACAGGAGGCTGGAACCCGTTCCCAGGGACTTGTGCAGGCAGCCAAGGAACCCGGGTGGGTGCTGTGATGGGAGCCAGACCCCCACCCAGACTTCCTGCTTGGCTCTCCGCCGTTCCTCTGTCACCTCTGAACATTGTCTAGTCTGTCTCTCCATCTCCACCTACTTATCTACCTTTTTGCAATTCTACAGAGAACTAAGTTTTGAACCTAGCTGACTTCTCCATTGACTGGCCAAGTGACCTTGGGCAAGCACTTCCTTGCCCCGGCCTCAGTTTTCAGCTCTGTGAAATGGGTATACAGTCTTCCCAGCAGGGAGAGGATGAGATGATGAGATGAGATTGAGATGAGATGAGATGAGATGAGATGAGATGAGATGAGATGAGATGAGATGAGATGAGATGAGATGAGATGAGATGAGGGCAAGGAGGTGGTGACAGTGGCAGCAGCTACTGAGAGCTGGGGGTTGGGGAGCAGATGGGCCCCGCAGGCTCCGTGTCCCTCACCGAGCCTCTCCTTCTCTCTCCCGCACAGCCCCCCGGCGCCCACGCGGAGTATGAACATTGAGGATGGCGCGCGCCCTCGGCTCCCCGTGCCCCCCACTGCCGCCCGGTAGGATGTCCTGGCCCCACGGGGCCCTACTCTTCCTCTGGCTCTTCTCCCCACCCCTGGGGGCCGGCGGGGGCGGCGTGGCCTTGACATCAGCTGCTGGAGGGGGCTCCCCGCCTGCCACCTCGTGCCCCGCGGCCTGCTCCTGCAGCAACCAGGCCAGCCGGGTGATCTGCACGCGGAGAGAGCTGGCCGAGGTCCCGGCCAGCATCCCTGTCAACACTCGGTACCTGAACCTGCAGGAGAATGGCATCCAGGTAAGCCCCTCGCTGGGGGGGCGGGCGCAGGAGCTGGCCAGCCCCTCCTCCCTGAGCCTTCGAGAGCCTTCTGAGAGACCCCACCTGCTCTTCAGTCAGTCCCTGGGCACTTAGGAGATGCCGTCTGTATCCTATCAGCCTGAGCAAGGCTGTCTGGGTTTCCTCAGGCACAAGGTTCCCTGTCTCTGGGCCAGCAGGTTGGGCCCAGGGCAGAACCACCTGCCACCTCCCACAGATGGACACGCAAACCCCTGGCGTGGCCCTAGAGTCCCACAGTCAAGGGCCTCTGGGCAGTGTGCATGGCCCTCCTGCTATGTGGGCGGCCCACCCACTGTGCAGCCTTAGGCCCAGGATGGCATCAGTCTGTGCCTCCGTATTCTCTTCTGAGAAAGGGGATGAGCCCCTGCCCAAGGGCTGATGTGAGGGCTGATGGGTTTCATACTCGCCAAGGGGTTAGAAATCAATAAAAATATATCCTCGGGTTAGTGGGCATCTTGCAGGTCACAGGAGTGGGACCATCTCGGGAGCAATTAGAGGCGCTTTTAAAAATAATAACTTTTTAATTACCCAAATAAAAAAAATTTTAAATCACCCCTAGTCCCACCATCTAGATATAAATAACTACTGCTTACATTTTGTTTTAAAGCCTTCCTGGCTCTCTTCTGTGTTTCTGTAAACGTATTTTTAAATTATTGATTACAGAGTGAGTGCAAATTAATTTAGAAACACTAGAAAATATACCTAAGTAAAAAAGCCGAGAGGAAGCCAAATGGAACTGGACAGCCACAAATGATGCTCTCCACGCGCGTCCTCAGAGCGTGTGCAGTAGGCTCAGGTTAGGAAACCCATCTCTTGCTTTTCTTTCTTATGCTTTTATTGATTTTTGAGAGAGAGGAAGGGAGAGGGAGAGAGAGAGAGAAACATGGGTGTGAGAGCGAAACGCAAATCTGCCTTCTGCACGCCCCCTACTGGGGATCCAGCCTGAAACCCAGGGATGTGCCGACTGGGAACCCAACAGGCAACCTTTCTGTGCGCGGGACAATGCCCACCAACTGAGCCGCAGCGGTCAGGGCTGCAACTGGTGTTTGACACCAAGGAGCTTAACGATGAAAATCTTTCTACCTGACACTAATCCTCGGCTACCATGTCAGTTTTGGTGACGGCTAGGATTCTTGGCACATGGGCGTCCTGTGTCCCTTCTTATGCCCAGTATCACTGATGTAAACAACACTGCCACAAACATCCTCAGGCTAACTTTCCTGTGCTCACTTTCCTGATGTTCTGGACCTCGCCCTTGGGATACATTCCTAGCAGCGGAATTGGGGGTCAGAGGGGAGGTCAGAAAAAGACCACCCCATCAGTGCTATGTGTCCTCATTCTAGTGTTGTCCACCTACATGGTGGCTGTGACCTCCACACAGACACAGACACACACACACACACACACACCAGGCCTGGTAGTGAAGCTCCGCAGAAATGGTCTGAGTTTTGGAGATTCAAGAGCCTACCCTGTCCATGGTCACTTGCTGATCACTGGACTCCTACACAGACTGTCACCTCCGCAAGGGCAGGGACTTGGCGTGCTCCCTGCTGTGTCCTCAGTACCTAGAGCAGAGCCTGGCACACAGTAGGTGCTCAGCAATTTGTCTTTGAGTGGAAGGCCAGCTTGTGAGCTCCTGCCCCAAAGGATTAGCCAAGGTGGAAGGAACCATCTGCCAGCAAGCAGGTTGGCAAGTCCCTTTCACTTGTTCCCACTCCCCTGTCCAGTGGAGCAGTGGGGACTGAGGGCCACAGAGGGACCGCGGGGGACTCCAAGTACACCAAGTGGCCACACTGGCCTCTCTCTGGGACCATGGTGTTGAGTTTTGGGGAGAGTTAAATGCCCTCTGTGACATGACAGGAACTGCAGGTGTGGAGGTGGTTGTTTTAACGCTTTCATGGGCAAAATAATTTTTTGAAAAAAATCAGTCCTCCCTGAGGCCCCTCATTCTGTTTGAGATTGGGTGGGGCATGCAAGCGGGGGCCACAGAGAGGCTTTCTAAGGTGGAGGCCTGGGGACCCGCCTTCCTTCTGCCTCACAGCCACGGGCCACCTGGAGAAGTGGGGTGGGGGTGGGGCCGGGGCCCTGGCTGGGCCACTTCCTTGGCCGGGCACCCCGGGTGTCCTGCTGGAGCCAGGGGAAAGCTCCCCGCCCATGGCCCCTGCTCCTGGCCCTACTCTGGTCCCCTCCTCCCCACAGCCAACCACCCTAAGCTGTTTACTGTGGGTCTTTCTGCTTGTGTGTGTTCTGGAAAATGCTCATTGTTGCTTTGTGTGCGTGTATTTTTAATTCATGTAAATGAAGCTGTGTCGTAGATGGCTTTCTTTGTCTCACTGTTCTCCCGCGGCCTGGGCTGTTAAGAGCCATTCACGTGGCCGCGCGCGGGCGAGCCAGTGCGCAACTGTCCACCCCGTTGCTTTACCTGCTGCGGAATTCTCCTCGATGGGTGCCCCTCATGCCCAGTCCCCCCCCCGTCAGAACCGACACCCCGGAGGCTTCCAGCTGCCTCCACCACAGCTCCCTCGGGACCCCTTTGGGGCCTGCGTGACAGTGTCTTGGAATGTGCACCGGGGGACCGGTGGCTCAGAGGACATGCACTTAACCGAACGAAGTGCCGATCCACTGAGGCTTGTGGCGGCTGCCCCGGGTCCCTCGGGGCCCCCCGTGACGTCATAAGCACAGTGCTGTGCCGGCTCTTGGCAAGGAGGGAGCTTCTGTCCTAAGAAACAATCGACCCGTCGGAAGGAGAGGCTCAGGGGTACTGCTGAGGTAGGCTGAGGGGCGGCCCAGCAGCCTCCACGGGGCTGCAGCCCGAGCTCCTGAGGACCCGGCTGCCGGGGTCCGGCCAAGTGCGTCGCGGTGCAGCCCCAAGGGAAGGTTATGGGACAAGTGCGTCTCCGCGCGGAGGGTTATGGGACAAGTGCGTCCCCCACGCGGAAGGTTATGGGCTGAGTCTCTGCAGTCCCGCGCGGAAGGTTATGGGATAAGTGCGTCTGTGCGTCCCCACGCGGAAGGTTATGGGATAAGTGCGTCCCCACGCGGAAGGTTATGGGATAAGTGCGTCTGTGCGTCCCCACGCGGAAGGTTATGGGATAAGTGCGTCTGTGCGTCCATGCGCGGAAGGTTATGGGATAAGTGCGTCCCCACGCGGAAGGTTATGGGATAAGTGCGTCTGTGCGTCCCCACGCGGAAGGTTATGGGATAAGCGCGTCTGTGCGTCCCCACGCGGAAGGTTATGGGATAAGCGCGTCTGTGCGTCCATGCGCGGAAGGTTATGGGATAAGTGAGTCTGCGCCCCGCGCGGAAGGTTATGGGCTGAGTCTCTGCAGCCCCACGCATATATAACTGAGTCTACTTTCTCACGCGGAAGGTTACGCAGCTACTGAGCACAGTTGGAGTTTGGGAGGACATCGAATGACACAGGAAAATGCTTCCATTGCAATATTGAGTTTTCGAAGGATGCGAGCAGCATGTCCAATTTGTTTTTACAACTTCATTTTTAAAAAAACAAAAAACAGGATCCACCCAAATATGTCATCAGCACTTATGACTGTGGGGACAGTTGAGGTCTTACAAACTTCCCTGGGGCATATTATCAAGCTCGGCTGGGCCTCAGTTTTGTCACTAACCTGGACATGATAGGTCTCCCCCCGTCACTGAGCTGCTGAGAAATTTGGTGTCTCCATTCCCGGACAAGGGTGTACTAAGCACCGCCATGTGCCAGGCGCTCTTTGTGGCCCGGGGGACTGAGGTCGCCAGCAGATCACTGCTGAGAATGCGACAGCGAGACCGGCTTCACCTTGGTCACTGTCATCTTTCCTGACTCAGAGAAACGTCAACCTCAGAGGCACCTTCTCTGAGCCCCCAGCCCAGTCCCCTGGAGTTCACGGCCCCCCGAATTTGTGGACACCAGCCTCAGGTGGCGCTGGCCCAGCGCTCAGCACAGATGCGGACCATTAAAAATGACTGAATCGGAGAAGCCCTGTGGCTTCTGAACCTTATGAC